TCATATCACAGCATTGTGCCATGGCAGGATGCTTTTACTGTATGCATAAACCACCAGTCTTGGTGTTACACTGGCTCTGAGAGGTTACTCCATCATGGATTCATACTTTAGAGGCAATGGAAAGACTGTCGTCTCAAAACGAGAATTTTCTTATACATGCAATGGATGACACAGCATAGTTGTCTTAATTGATGCTTTTATGAACAGACTCAAAGCAGAGCAGATAAAAAATGTCAAGCATCATTAAGTGAAAGATGAATCCAAACCTTTTTTTCCATCAGTTTTCTGTTTATTTTCTGATGATGGAAATATAATCTCATGTGCACTAAGAACAAATTAGAATGGATCCAAGTAACAGAAACCTTCACAAGCCTGCGTGTGTGTGCGAATGGGTGTATATGTGTAAATATATATATGTATACATGTGGCAGGCACACACCAACAGTGGACCTTTTTAAAATCAATCAGTATGCTGACCTCTCGGGCAGACGTCTGTGTCAAAACCGACCCCCCCACCCACCCACCCACTGTTCATTTTGTACCTGTGAAAGGGGATTCGGGGACAGTAACAATGATGATGCTGATGATTTAACGCTATGATCCTAATTTGGTCCAGCATTTTGAACTTTGTTTTGTTAAGTGTGATTGACAGCATTGCTTAGGAAATGAGAAATACTGAAGAGGAAGTGGGTTCAAAAGAGAGTAATTACAGATAAGAAAGAGGTTCCTTTCTTTATCTCTTTTCCTGCTTCAGAACAGAGAAGGAAAAGACCCTTTTATGAGTCATCATGATGCCACAAAGCTATTATTCTTTGTTTAACTAATTTTACCTGTATCCACTTTTTCCCTTTCTATCCTTCCCCACCTTTACTCCTACCCACCCAGTCCCCCATCATATCCATACAGTGTCACTGTGACCTACTGCTAGCATACTGGCTAGTTAAAAAGACAGACAGGCTGAGAAAAAGAGGTCTAATATGCACAGACAGACAGAAATGCTATTTGACGTTCAATGACAACTTGAATGGAGAGACAAGTTGCAAACATACAGCAAATCTATTGAGATGTATACAAGAAAAAATCATATTTGTATGAAATTTATGAACGGACAATGACTTTGAGATTATAGACAGAGAGATCAAGTGCTGATAGCATTCACAGTTGCGTTAGGGAAACGGGGAGGGGGTTACATAGCAGAGAGATACAATTTTTCTTAAGAAATAAGTGGTCTTCAAAACTAAAAGACGTGTTTTCAAGTCCCTCAGCCTCACTGAAATTTATTTGAGCTTTATGCATGGTACTGTATCTGTTAACTTAAAGTTTATTTTTTTCCCCCCCATTTCTTCTCCCAAAGCTTAATCCCATAACAAAGATCGTTCCAAAAAAAGAGTTGCTCTAAATGTTTTGCAATGGTAAAACGTAACATCAGGGCTCTCGCAATAGAAAAAAGAAAAAGATATGATATATGTTTGTTTTCAAAAGTATGTACATATATATTTCTATTCAAATATATAGCAAATATATGAATATTGAAAAAAAGCAGAGAAATATAAAAGCCGTTCTAATTGAAAATATATATAAAAGATCACAAGACAATCGCTCAGAGTGAAAACCTGCAAGAAGGAAGGAAGAAAAAAGAAGAGGGAAGCTTAAACGGGTAGCACAACCATGGACGGGAGATCTTGGAGAGAAAGGAAGTGGTATGAGAGAAAGAAAATGGTGACAAACTGAGGTCTGAAGAATGATACAATGACCCCCTTGTGATTTTGTAAATGTTCCAGCTGCAAACACCTGTGTAGCAGGTAGCAGGTAGCAGCTGAAAGGACAAGCACAGTAAAGTCAAATTATAGTGTGAGATGTGTCGCTGGTTAACTGTGGTCTATGGCTCAGTGCAGAAAGTGTGGTGTTGAAAAAGAAAACAGTAAAACAAGGGCAGCCTATACAGTAAGTGAGCCTATTGTAATATGTTGTATTGTACCTTCCAAAGGTGTGTTCACAAACTCAATGCCATTACCTGACTATAATTAATGAAGACGAACAGACCAACAAGTATTTCTGTTTCTTATCTGTGTCATAGCGAGTCCTCCCCAAACTCTGGGACTTCAGGCCAATAAACATACCACACAGTAAAAGTTATAACTGCTCATAAATTTATTCATGCTCCCTTTTATTTTAAAACTTAGACAGGATAAACATTAATTTTGCTCTACATTGTTAATGTTAAAATGGCCTTTATGTTTTAAGTTGTGCAAATACTTGTTTTCTGAAAAAACAAGAGTTTGGGAATGGGGCAGGCCTGTTTTAGCAACCAAAAACAGAGGCTTCCTTACTCCAGTTGTATGGATATTGGATGGAGTGATGAAATAAACTCCTTTCCAACCTGCTTTCCCCAGTTCTTCAATGAAGTTGCCTCTACTGTAAAACACTGATCTACTGTCAGTTTGCTCCAAGTAAACCTTTAAGGAACAATCCACCTCTACTGTGAATATGAAGTACATGTAATATTTAAAACAATAGTTCAACATTTTGGGAACTATGAGAGTTAGATATGAAGATTGATGCCACTCTTATATCTGTCCCGTAAAAAAATTTACATTCTGCACAAAAAACTAAATGTAAAAAAAGTTGTGGTTTTACAGACGTTTTGTGCCAGACTATTTCCCGGCCAGGAGTAAACTCCTAAAGTCTTGTCCTTATAGTAAGGTTGCTAGGCAACCATTGTCATATTGAGACTTGTCATATTTACACTTCCTTTTTTTGTACGGATTAAACTAACGAGATATAATGTGTTAATTACTGAGCTTTTTGTGAGGCTGGTAGGTGGATTTTGTTGCCTTCAACAGTGCTCCTTTTCATCTCTTTGCAATATAGCAAATACTTGGATTTCACAAAATGGCGAACTATTCCTATAATGTATTCCAGGAATTATGTTTTTTTTTTTTTAATTCAAGTATGATATTTGTTGTATTCAATTGAAAACAGTATTCAAATTGTGAAGTACAGAATACTCCAGTAGTACTTTTGTGAGTTATTCAGGCCTTCAATCAAAAAACTTTTTTAATATTTCCAGATGTTGATCCTTTTTTGGTCTAATGTAAAAACAAATATCCATCTGAAATGATAACCTGTTAATATATTATAAACCAAAAAGGACTAGTTGTTTTTAAGGTACTTTACTGTACGGTTATTTTTTTTTCCTTCTCATTGGACGTGATTGGCTTTCTTGGCAGCAGCTTATGAGTGATTTAGGGTGGATTTTTCCTTAAAGTACAACATACTTTTCAAACTGACTCAGTCTGTGTTTATAAAGCCAACTTCACTTGTGCTACTTACCCAACCTTTTCCACATCAACTCAACCAATCAGATCTTCCCCTCTCACTTTACCCCTTGCCCACCTGTACAACATAATTTCTACTCCACAATAGAAGACTTGTGTACATAGGAAAGTGTTTTGTATAAATGAGTACTATTTTCGACATCTTCACTAGAAACCAGGGCACAATGTAAACTTTGAACAGAAGTTATTGTAATGAAACAGAAGAGGACTTAATGAAAAACTATAGAATTATACAGACACTGCTTTATCTTCATTTATCGACCAGTTGAAACATGTCAAGAGTGGACCATGCATAGTTAACAATATTAATTTTCTTCTTTTACAGGACATTTGGTTGCATTGTCTCCTTTTTTATTTTTTGTTTTTCTTTCTTTTTTTTACTTTGTCACAGGTTGCTTGATTTAGAGTTTGCCTTTCTTTTTATTATTCCACTTTTTGGGGGGAGGACAGCAGCATTGCATGTTCTGAAAATTTTTGCTGGTTATAAAAGAAAAAGGGAAATGGTGAATTGAACAATTTAAAAGGGGGTTAATTAAAACATTTTAAAAATGCAGAGGTTGTTCCTTAAACTTTTATGGGGAAACGTTGCTTCAATTTGCAATTGCTTGTGTTTAACTCTACATTTTCTTTTCTATGAAAACAAACAAAATCAGAAAAAGAGTACTCAACACCTTGTGCAATAAAGCTATCTTTTTATGAACTGTGATGATATTATTCATTCTTTCACAATCATGTAGCATTTGAGATAAAGGGCTTTCTGTATCACTCTGTTTTTACTGTAATGAGAACGTGTTTCACTTGTTAGTGAAAGAGTTTGGATCATTTGTCACTTTGGCACCCAACTGCTTTTTAAGATCCACACATTTCACTGTGAACAGATGTCATAGCCTGGCATAAAGTAGTCAAATGAAAAAATGTAACAGCGATGTCTGTGAATTTCAGAATAATAAGGTTTTGGAGTGAGGACCCACTCCTTGACGTCTATGGACTTTAATCACATGTAAAATCATCGAATCTAGCACACAAAAAAACCTCAGCTAAACCAGTTCACTGTGAATTCAGCCCTTCAAACACCTGTTTAATAGTAATACAACTATCAAACAATGCAATGCAACATTTTTAAATAACTACTTGTTAGCTTAAATCAACATTTACGTTAACTTCATATATACTGTATAGGTCATCTATAATTTGTCTTCCAGTTTGCAGCCACATACCCTAAGCTTTAAATTAAATAAGACATTATGAATTACTGATATGAATGAGCACACACAAAACATACAAACATGAATGTGTAAAATAATTAAATTAATAATAATTAATATAATTAAATACATTATTATTAACTCTGCTTATTATTATGATTATTTTCTTCATTTTGCTTGAAAGGTTTATTGCAGGTTGTTTTCATTTCATTCCAGCAGTTTCTACTTCAACACAATTTCTTGATTGACAAACACTGTTCTGAATGAGTGGACAGACAGTTCTTATTGTTTTGATTATTTCATGGTTATGTTCATTATTTTGTCTGTCTTGTAACTTCATGGGGGGGTTTGAGTCATTAGGGATGAACCACCTGAAAATGTAGTTCTTCCGTAGTATGATTCAGAACCTGATCAAAACACTAGAGGGCATCATGCTACAATGAAACGCGACACAGAACAGGAGACAGAGGAGTTTATTGAGATATTTTGGTAAAATTGTAAGATCCACAATGTTGACAAATTATTTTATAATTTTTTCCCCATATCTATGTACTTTATATACAGCATATTCACAGTCACTCACACATACTCACATTCAGATGTACAGCGCATTCAGATATATTATTCACATAACATTTTAAATAGGTAATGACAAGTAGCTATTTGAGGTGTTCTCTATTACTGTATGCTATTATCTATACAGTGTCACTAATCCAGAGCTCTACTTAGTGTTTATCATACAGTTTGAATGTATATACATTTGCAAATGAGTGTACATATGCATTTGTGTATGTCATCGCAAAGTTCATCCATCCTTTGGTGAATACACATACGTGCTTCCTGTTGCCTCTCACCCTCCCTGTTTGTCCATCTACTTGCCGTTCTTGTGTTTCTTCTGTTGGAACTTCCTGAAATGGGTCTGGATGGTGGCGGCGGCCTTCTCAACTTCAACAGGGCTGAGTGGGGGAACAGCAGGCACGGTGCACGTCCCATTGCTGGCATTGGAGTCTGAGCACGACAGGACACATGGTATAGCCAGAGAGGCAGAGGCAATAGCCATGGAGACATAGTCTGTAGTAATGATTGAGTTCAAACACATGGTGTACATATTAGCTTTGATTCAAGCGGGCTATTTTTCTGATTAAAGTTTGATTTGGATTTGACATTTGACTTAAATCAAACCCTCATGGTAACTTCAAAATGACAATTATGCTGGCAGAAAAATAGCCTGCATTTAAACACTTTTACTTACTCTTTCTATACACCCCTATGCTGTTCCTCCTGAACCCATCAAACTGTAAAAGAAACATAACACTTGTGTTAGAAGACAAGTCACTGACGCACAGAGAGAGAAAAAAGGGGAGGAAATCAGTTGTACAAATGAGATACGGGTCAGGTATGATAATTATCCATGTTAAAATCTTATCTGGGACTTAGCTCAAACATTATTCACATACCACAAGAGTACAAAATCAGACACATAATCATACAGGCGCTAAATTCTTCAACTCAACTGTACAAAATGTGCAGTCCTTAAGGAATGAATGTGCAATGTACATGTGTGACTGCATCTCTGTGTGTGTGTGTGTCCTTTCCATCTACAGTTAAGGTAATGACCTCAAACACAAATCCCCTTGATTGGAATTACAGCTCAAGCAGAGCAGCGGCAAAGAGGCTATGACTGTACCAGTTTAGCCTGCTTACCCGTCAGTTTGGCTGTGTGCCTGCGTTCAGTCCTGCACACCGGCTCCATGACCTCATCAATGCAGTCTACTCTCTCCTTTTACCAGAGACGTTAAACTGACACAAAATGTCTTTCTTCACCTCCACCTGTGTTGATTTCTCCCTGCTTGCTTCATAGGGTTTTTGTTGTGGGTTGATGTTTTCTTTCGCCTTCTCATCTTAACACCTGGGCCCTCAATTAAGCACCAAAGTTCCTCTTCCTGCCACAGTCCAGCTCTTTGCCTCAGTTTGTCTTTTTATTTGCGAGCTGCATCTTTATAATAGTCTACGATACAGTCTTAAAACAGTTACCTCAAGCAAAGAAAAAGGCACAAAAAGATCTGTAGGACATCAGAGGTGTGCACTTTGGACTGGACTGAGTGTGCTTCTTGATTCAGAAATCCATAGTGCAAGCCTGAGGAATAACCTAACAACCACCAAGTTGTGAACCTCTGTGCAAGGATTTATTGATTCCCTGATATTGATCCAATGAGGGCCAAAAGGTCAGTGTTTACCTGAGTCTGATGCAAAAATCATCTCTATTTTATTATATTACTTGGCGGGTGCTGTTTGAGTACAGAGGCATCAAAACTTGTGTGTGCTGTCGTCCTCTGAGACACTACAAGCAAAGCGCAGCACAGAATTTGTGACCAAGCTAATATGCTCACATGCTGAGTCAAGCTTGACAGCTGAAATGTCCACATACTATGACTCTCCATTAGATAACAGAAGATTAAAAAAGCTAATTTATGAGTAATGTGGGATATGGCTACAGTGGATGACTCAGTCATGTGCAGAATGAAGGTGCGTTGCATTGGCTGTAAGGAATCCATAGCCCTGGTGTGTCAGCATGGTGATGTGTGTGACAGCAACTATACTGAGACACAAATTTACAATTTCCAACTAACCTCTTCTGCTTTGCTGCTCCTCCGACTGTGTGACACTGAGTGAACCTGCCAAGGCAAAGGCTGGGACACCATATAAGGCAAAGGATCTTGTTGCCGTGCAAACCGCACCCCTATCTGAAAATGATAAGGATGTCATGGTAAGGGTGCCAACATGTGGTTAAAAGAGTTAAACACAAGCAACTTCGTCTCTCAACTCTAGGCTCTCTTTCTGTTTATTTAATTTTTCTCTCTGGTTTACTTATCAGATGAACAAAAAAAACCATCAAATGTTAAGTGTTTCACAGTTTGCCCTACAGAGCTTTTTGGGTGACTGGAAATTTTTTTTTAATGCATGATCATTAGCTGTTACATAATAAGCAGTAAGGAATGCTGCTTATTAAAAGTTTGGTCTTACATCACAATCATTAAATTTTGTTGCTGTCGATATAAACCTAGTTATAATCTGACATTGACAACCAGTTTTAACATAACCCTAATCGCATTTTGATGCTGTTTATATAAACCTTATTCATATTTGACACTGAAAACCTGCTGGGTGAAAAAAACACTTTATGGTTGCAGCAAAAACACAGAGCACTTGTCTTGTATTAGAAATATTAGAATATTTTAAGATGTTTAAGTAAATAGAATATTAATACATGTTATATCTAATTTCAAGAAACAATAATCGTCTATTTATTTCTACTCTTATTTCTATTCCATCTATAATTGTAATCATCTTACCGATTCTACGACTCTGACCATCATATACATGGCTGTTAGCATGGTGATCAACATCTTGACCACTATTCCTTTAGTGCCTCTATTAATCCTTAATGTTTTCCTTGGGTTTTCGATTGCTTTCCTCACTCCTGCTGGGAAGGGCTGCTCAGGGGAAGGACAGTTGAACGCACACTGTTGAGTATGTCCACTTGCACAAGTTTCTCAGGTACACACGAGCACAAACTCATCAAACACACAAACAAGCGATCACGCATGCACACACTTTCTCAGACACAGGGGGTAAGACTGCTAAAGAGCTTTGCAGGACAGAAATAGAGAGGCAGTAATCTTTTCCTCTGCACAATACTTATCCTTCAGGTGTGCTTCCACCTCTCCAACAGTTGAGACGGATCAGGTTTTATTAAAAAATTTAGGATTACAAAAGATAGATATTTTTATTGATCATTTTACCTGCATATAATTTTAATAATCAATAAAGCCAGTTGTTACAACTTATACAATAAACATTTTTACTGTAATCGGTGTATACCCAAGATTTATGCGTGTATGTTTAATGGCTGCAAACCAAAACTTTTGGGATAATAAAGTTGAAGTTGAATTGCAGAATATTGTATTTAGCCAGAAGTACTCTCATTCACTTGCAATTTCTCTCTCTAGAAAAACTGTGTAATCCTGAGAGCCATCTGAACTTGCTCTATGGAACCGGCCCAGACACTTATTTATCAGTTAAGATGGCTAGAGTAAAATAATAATGCCACAGAGGTTTCTAGGAAAACAGCTCAAAGGTGAAGCTGGAGGAAGTGAGAGAATAGGCTGTCTATGAATAAAGGGCAGCATCAGTATGCCAGCTAAGTATCTGTAGTAATCAGATAACATATATCTGAGAGATCACACATGACTAAGGGTTTGTGTGCGTCACTGTCTGCAGCCTCGCCTCTGAGTCCCCATGCAGACCAGTGATAATCCTCAGGGCAGGTGTCTGCGAATACATTTCACCCGACTCTGCACTGAGAGACGGACACTGCCCGCTGTTATCTGAGTATCAAGTCTGTCATGTAACAAAGTTTTACATAATCACTAATGTCATGTTTACTCTTGCCTACGTGTTCCTTGATGTGTGCTGCGAGTCTGTGTGCGTGTGACTGATGTTCATTTTGTTCTTATGGTATTAGATATAAGTGCAGGAATGTGTCTTATCGTTGAACAGACTGGTATAAGAGCTCTCGTGACAGAGAGACACAAACACCTGGTGACAGATAACATGTGAAGGATACTCCTTTTCTTTTTACTAAGCATGGTATGAGGAGAAATTAAGGTCCACAAAAAGCTACAGATACAAAGAAGGGGTAGAACAATGCACTAAAACAGTGAACAGAACAGACTGCTAGATACAAAGTTGATGATTTGTATAATTATTAGTTTATCAGAATATAAATGCTTAACATCTTCTCCTGATGAACTCACAAAATCAGCAGTCAATACTTACTATATTAATAAATAGCAATTAATTAAGTATTAATTACTCAGGCTAATTTAGTATTACTCACTTAGTATCAATCTATTTTTAGTTTATGAATAACACGTCAAGTCAAATCATTGTTCAGATTAATTTTGTCATTGAACTATTGTTGGAAAGTAAGCACATTTACTCAAGTACTATAGTATAATCTTGAGTTACTTGTAGTTTAATTGAGTATTTCCATTTTATACTACTTTTTCCTCGGTATTGACAATTTAATACTGTAATAACAATGGAAGTATATTTTCCTAATAATACTTCTGTACTTTTACTTAAGTAGGATTTTAAATGCAGGACTATTACTTGTAATAGAGTACTTTAAATTGTGGTATTGCTACTTTTACTTAAGGGTCTAAATACATCTTCCAACACTGTATTTACTCGTGTTAGCAAAAAAAAAAAAAGTAGTAAGCTATACTAAATACCATTCACTTCTTCTTTACTTTCATAATAGCTGCTATTCCACCTTTTCAACAATATCTTTTTGACAGTCTCCTTGTCTGAGAAGAGACCATTATATCAGCAGATCATGTTCAGCCTGTCATGGATCAGGCTTTATTGTGAAAAGCAAAATGAAACAGGGAGGAGAGTATTGCTTCAGTGAAGCATTTCAGAAAGATAAAAGGCAGGACAAACCAGCCTCCGCCGTACTTTCAACAATGAGCAGTCCCCTGAGACAGGAGGCTACAACATATTATCATCCATTGTAAGTAGTAGGACAACAGAGGTTTTTACATGTGGTATTAGGCCAAAGAAGCTTTCAGGTACTTTTGACTGTGTTGTGTTGCCTTTTGAATTCCTGTAATGTTTATGTTATGAATTTTAATCACAGGTTTCCAGTCAACACGCCACATTGTTAGTGGCTGACCAGGAGAAAAGCTCATTTAAAACGGAGAGGAGAGACACTCGGCGGGATTCATCATGTCAGTCAAGCTTCCTAAGAGGCTGAGCAGCAAAAAGAAAAGTATGTTTATATTTTCTTTTGTCTTTTTTTAACTGAATATGCTGTGGATATTATATTGATATTTTGAAAATTATTGAGGGACTACTGTTACAAAAAAAAAAAAAAAAAAAAAACAGCAAGCAGGTATAAATGGGAAGAAAATGCATGACATTCTTATTCTTAAGCTTAATGCAGTATTGTTCAATTTGGGGAGTTCAAGCTTTATGCGAGATAAACATGGTTTGGGGTATCTGACTTAGTGTCAAACCAAATGACTAACATAGGAGACAACTGATGCATCTGTTATTGCCATTTGCCTTTGATTATCAGATGTGCAGTTCTCCAGACAAATCAGTAGTACCTTTTGGATATGCTGCTGCAGCAACCCAAACCAACACAGACTGTAACCCCAAAAACATGTCTGTGTTTCTCCTAAACCTCAGCAAATCTAAATATGTTTACTTCCTGCTACACTCTACTTAACATTCAGTAAATGGTTTGTCTAATAATGCTAAATGTGTGACAACTGCCATGATACCAAATAATGTGGTAAGCTGTCAAGTTGAATTTTGCTAGGTCTGTTGATGTCATTAAGGAAGGCAGAAATTAAGGGCTGACCACTACAGGGCTGCCTATGACTACTCTGGCTTTGGAAACAAAATGAAATAAAAACCTGCAGGCCAGGAGGGATGTGCTTGGATGAAAGCACAACATGTCTCAATGTTTTAATGTGTTTACTCATTAAGGATAATTGCATTAGTGGCAGCAAGTGTAAATTCCGATGTTAATGGCACCACAGGATGGTCAGTTTAAGCAGAAAACTGCTGTTTTGTTTGCAGGTATAGCTGAGACCCTGAGCTAAAATGTGATGGCTGATAAGCTACAGGGATAATATGCCTTTTCTGTTAATAAAATGTTAATGTTCTTTGTTATATTTAACAGTTCATATGTAACATTAAATTAATAGTAAAATTCTTGTTCAGGAATGTTAAAATATTTTCTCATATTTATTTTAAAGGCTGCTAAAAGTCTGAAAAAAACATAAAGTACAAATTAAGGCTCAATAAGAACACAGTACAAGTCTATATCAGAAGACATGCAATACACATAATCTATATGTCATGCAAGTCAATTTTTATTTATTTTTCATTTTCAACAAAAACAAAAACAACTTTTATTGGTTTAAATAATTAATGTAGTAAACCAAAGTATAACTAGAACATTTTTATCACTTCAAGAAAAATTTAGGAAATTCTTCTTGATCATATGAAATTCAACTTTATACTAAACAAGATAAAACTATATTACCATATATGATTTAAAATTGTAGCTAATCCACAGTCTGAATAATTGCCTTGTTGTTTCAAACCAGAACCTCCAAAGGACAATGCCCAGGTAGAGGCTCTAAATAAGCTGGGCCTGGAGGCATTCTGGACTACACCACTGGACCCAGCATCTATGTTGGACATCAGCACTTGGGCTCTAGAGAACCAATCTCTTCTAGAGCCCAAGGATCTACCAAATGCTTTCCTCCAACGCCTATGGCTCCTTAGCCCAGATGCCCGGAGTCCTTGCTGCAAACCTCTGCATGATGTTGTGAACAATGACAACAAATCCTCTGAGGAGATGATCAATGGTTTTGGAGAAAGCCAGTGTGTCATCAACCCCCTTGATCTAGTTACAGCTGTCTTTATGTCTGCCAACACTTTCCTTCAGCAGGAGATGACTGCACACATGATGCAATGCCAATTTGCTGTGCCCCTAGTCCTTCCAAACATAGATCCAGAAGAACCTAGTCGCTTCCTTCTTTGGCCCTTGAGAGGTGTTGTGAGCCAATGGAGGTCTCACTTTCCAGATAAAAACAGGGAGGTCCACGAAGGGAATTTGGCAAGTACATACATGCCAATGGTTTCTTGTGTGAAACTTGGTCACTGTGGTGTCTCCAAGTCACAGGTGTTAAACAATGTTATAAATGGACTCAGATCACCCAGTGAAACCTTTCTTCACAGGGGGATGGAAGGAGGACAGCTGCCCCGAAGACTCTCAAATGGCCTGGTCGAGATCGGATGGTATCTTCCCACTGGAGACACTGCCAGAGATATTTTCCCTGTCCCTGTCGTCATCTCTAACCTACGTGGTGATGCCAGTACACATGAGAAATATCTCAGGCTTCTATGTCAAGCATCTTCAGCTGTGGTTGTTTTCTGTGGGAATCTTAGAGAGAAAGAAAAACAACTTCTTGCTTCCTGCAAACTTATGGCAAGCAAGCTTATACTGATTGACCTATCAGACACTGAAAAAAATGAAAACAGAGTTGTGGGGTTTGCTGATCAGAACCTTGAAGAAAACATGGGTCTTCCTGGAGGATCAGTGTTGCAAGGCGGAGCTTTGAACGAGGAGGAACTGGCTAACAGGCTATGTGATGCTCTGAAAGATCTCTTACCAGATAAACTGAAACTTGTTACACTTGAGGCAGCAGCAAAATTAGCAGAGGAGCTAGGCCTTAATGTGGATGAAGGGGCAGTCTGTAAAAAATCAATGGCCACAGTGGAGGAAGTACTGAAAGGTTTAGACAAGGGATCTGCTCAATTTAGGGAGAAACAGCTTCCTTTGCAGGGGCCTTTGTGGAGCAAACTGGGTGAAATAGAAAAGGAGGAAAGAAAACAGAGACACAAAGGAGAAGAAATTGACCGCCAACTGCAACAAGAAAAGAAAGACATTTTGGTAGAGTTGAGAAGCTACAAAATGACTTCAGCAATGAAGATTTTCACTGATGCGCTTTTCACAACAGATAAGGTGGAGAGGACTTGTTTTCTCGGTTGGATGAAGCTAAAGCTTCAGCTGCTGCAAACAGAAAAACAAAACAGTTCACAAGATCTATTCACAAACCTGCAAACAGAAAAGAAAGATGGCATGCTTGAACAGTGTGATGAGCTTGAAAATGGAGCTGATGACTACCTAGGGGACAGTGATAGTTTCTGCACAGATTCAACATTTGAAGAGGAACAAACTGAAGAGCAGCCTGTAAATACTGAACTGCAAGTTTCTGAGCAACAGTTTGAGATAGGCCATGAGTCAGAACATATTTTGCAGGAATATACAGAAAGGACCACAGAACCACAGTCACAACAGAAAGAACATCTTGAGTTCACACATGATCCAGTCATAGAGCAGCAGTTATACACCATGTCAAATGAAAAAGAGATTCAAGGTGAAGGAATGATTGAAAACATAGTCTGTTCTGAAGACCACATTTCAGATCCAGCCTTTAAGGACCAAAACTGCAATTTGGAGTCTGGAGAAAATGGAACCTTGAACTGTCAAGGGACACAGCAAGATGAACCAGAGCTGACACTAGCTGAGTCAGATTTGACGACTTCTGCCCAACAAGAAACATACCCAGATGTTTCCTTTGAACATCAGGTATCCTCATGTTCACAGCCTTTTGAACCTGATTCGTCCTCCCTGGGGCTTGAGCACTTTTTGCGGGAGATGGGCCTAATTTTTGAGTTAACACACATCAGCCCCAGCAGTGGGAGCCAAAATGTGTTGCGTCTCCCTAGCATAGCTACAGATCTTCTTCTCTACGGGATTCCACTTGAACTAATGGATGGAGATGCCTCAAACATTCCCATCCACTGGTTAGGCTGTGTCTTTGCAGAGCTAAGACGCCGGCTACCTCAAGAACAGTGCAGGACCAGAGTGTTGACAAACCTTGGAGTACATCATGCTTGGAATGCTGAGGTTCTTTCTGCATTATTTGGGGTGAAATTTCCTGAAGGAAGGACAAGATCCACTAGAGGGGTGTACATGGTCGCCCTTTGTGTCCCTGACAACCTTAGAAAGGACATGGAATGTGATTTTCTGTTGTTAATTGATGTAGAAGGTCTCTGCTCAGACAACAAAAGAAATACACTACTTTACGACAATGAGATGGCCACTGTTGCAACAGGATTGAGTGATGTTTTAATGCATAACATCTCTTCACATGCAGGTTCCGAGTGGGAAACTAACTTCACTGTCGTAGTGAATGCTCTCCTACGCATCAAGGAATGTGGCTCCATGCCCATTTGCCAACTCCTGGCCCAGGATGAAGAATTAAACAGTGTATTACAAGCCTCACAGTTAAAACGTGTATCTGATATGCTTCAGACTGAGACTGAGGACAGAGAAACTAACAATGCTGATAACCATAATGCAAAGACCTCAGTCTGTATCACCTGTGTCAAGGGGCCTTGGTACAATATGTCCCTCTCTGAACCAATTGATACACAGTATAGTAAGGCTGTGTTGAATCTTAAGAAAAACCTGTTTGGATCATTGAAAAAGTGTGCAGCTAAGTCTGAAGCTACAGGTCTTCCTGAATTTATGAACCGTTTGTGCACTGTTTGGGATGCTGTGAGAGCAGACTCATTCTCCATTGGTCTGCAAGATACTGACATAGCTTTAGCATTTTCTTTATTGTGCACAGAGCTTTCCCAGTGGGAGAATAGTTTCATGGGACACATGGAAAGCTGGCTATTGGGGGCAGCAAAGAAGATCTTTGCCACAAAGGCAAAGGCTTTAGACGCTACAATCCAAAATGACCTTCTGATTGAGTTGAAGGATGAAGGCAGAGAGGAAGTCAAAACAGAGGTGGACAATCTCAGGTCAAAAGTAGAATCCTATTTGCTGAAAGATGACCATCTCAAAATGAACACATTCAAGCCAGTCCTAATGAGTAATATGGACGACCTCCAGGAGCGAGTAACTAAAGAGATAATAGAAAAGTTGGAGACTGTTACTGAGAACCATTGTTCTTCCACACAGTTAAACAAATTTGAGACCTTACTGGGAAAAGAAAAGGAATCCAAGTTAAATGCACTGATAGAGAAGAGCAAGACAACCAAAGTTCTGTTTAAAGATACAGAACTAGAAGAGGAGTTTGAGTGTGTGTGGAGTGATATGTTGTCCAACTTTGACTTCAGGCCTTCAGAAACAGAAGATATTACTGCAAGAGTGACTGATATTATGAAAGAGAATCTAATAAGCCGCGGCCTACAGAAACATATGAAAAAAACTGAAGTCATGGGCCAAAAACAGGAATCAAGCTTCTACGTTTCTGATGAGCACTTTGGATACCGCAGCAGATTAAAGCACATGTTTGAAGACAACAACAGACTACAGAGGTTAGAAGCTCAACAAGTAGCATGCAATATCATAGAAGAATGCAATCAGTTTGTAGCAGATAAAGTTAGCTTACCAGCAGATTTCTCTGACAGCTACATTACAGTACTGTTACAAAATGTTGAAAAATCTTTGAAGGAAAAATCTATTGAAATCAGATCTGCTTTTGAAGTTGATCTAAAGGTTTATCTCTGTAATACAGCATGCCAAGACTTCCAAAAACTACATGACCGCTATGCCAAGGACAGAGAGCTTCTGACATGTATCACTGCAGCCAAGAGTATGTACTTGGCAGAGTTCATCTACCAGTTCAGGAAGAGAGACCAGTGCCAGAGGCTGGCTCAAGTATTCACCTCCATGGTCGTCAAACCTACAGTGTTGGACTACATCTATAAACCACTGGGGATGCAGATTGTAGAAGAGATCCAAGGTCATGCTCAGCAGTATCGGTCCCCAAGTACCTTCCACCAAAGCCTGCTGGAAGACCTGATAAAAGAGGATTGCTTTGAAAGCTTCCTGGAATATTTGCATTCCTATGACAACTTCAGACTGAGGAAGATCCAGGAGAAAGTAGTATCTCACCTCTCTGAATCAACCAACTTGGATAAATGGAGGCAACAGAGACTTGGAAAAATTGTAGGAAAGTTTGCAGCAGCAGTGAGCGAAACAGCAGAAGGTACCAATGGAGTGCTGAGTGATACAAAGCCACTGCTGGAGAGAGTGTGCCTCACTTTAGAAAGAGATGGAGATGTGGATGTCACCAGGACCTCTCTGGATGGACCTCTCTTCAGTATCACCACAGAATGGGATCGCTTTATCACATGTTTAATGGAGTTACTGGCTGCAATGCGTTTAGATCTGGTCCAGGAGTTCTCCCAAAATGCGGATATCACGCAACTTCTTCAGTGCCTTTCAATTCAGCCCCAAGACTCCCTCTTCAACAGAGTGAGAGGCTGTGACAAGCAATGTCCTCTCTGCAAGGCCCCCTGTGAGCTGTTGGAAATGGGGCATGAATTTCACAGGGCTCTGCTCCACAGGCCCAAAGGCATGTTGCCCCATGACTCCTGTTCTCTGTCCGGTAGCAGTTCCCTGGAAAGCACGACAGAGGGCGACCCAGACCAAAATGAGGACACATACATGTCTGTGGTATGCAGGGGGCTCGATTCCCTATATCCAGAATGGAGCATCTCCCTTGAGGACCCAAACTGCCAGATGCCTAATGCTTACTGGAGGTACTGTGTGGTTTATATCATATATATGCACACACACACACACACACACACACACACACACACACACACACACACACACTATATATATATATATATATATATATATATGCAAATATTTCATATTATTAGCTAAATAATTTATTTTCGTTTACAGGTATGTGTTGGCGAGGTTCAATGACAGGTTTGCAAAAGAATACAAGCAGGAGCCAGAAAAGATTCCTGAGGAGTGGAAGAAGATCACTAAGGAGGAGGCACTGTACAGTCTGAAGGAGGCCTTCCTCTCTGCACAGCGCTGAAAAGGATTGCTCTGAGCTGTATACTATCTCTTGTCATGATATATGTGACATGTTCAGGTTTTATCTGGTTTAGAAGCCTTTTGCAATTATCAAGGCTGTTGGAGTTGTTGATAATGATAGACAGAAATGTAATCAAATGGACCATTCATTCAAAACATTGATATGAGAGCATTACAATTACTTTGCAAAGTATTTATTTCTTCTTTGCTTCATTTGAACACAAACTGCTAAAATGTGCTTCTGTCTTCCTTGTTAACAAAGCTGAGAATACTATAGCATCAAAGTATAAAGTTTACAACATGATCATGTGCATCCCACAGATTAACAGTGTGACAACCACATTGTCATAAAACTTCCTAGAAGTGTTTTATGTTACATACATATGATGGCAGCATGAAATTGCAAACATTATGTGTCTCTGCATATCATCAAATC